GAGTGCTCATACAGCCGTGCCGGGGTCCCGCAATGACCTCAGCTAATTCCCTCAGCACTCAGGGATGGAGATTATCAGGCCTTGCTGATTTAAATATGTCCAGTCCCTCCAGAAGTTCCCTGACTAGATCCTCACTGCCACTTGGCCTGGGTGCGCCTCCCCTGGGGCCTGAGGGGGTGTGGGGGGGGGGGACCCGGTCTCTGCTCAGGAAAATGGAGGCAAAGTAATTGTTAAATAGGTTAGCTTTGTCATCTGCCGCGATGACCAGATTTCCTAGAGTGTCTTGCAGAGAACCCACATTACCCGGTACCTTCTTTTTACCCCCTATGTATTTAAAAAAGGACTTCTTATTGTCCTTGATCTGGGTAGCTAGTCCTGTCCCACTCTTTGCCCACCCATGGCCCCACCCCTTCCGCCCGGCTGAGCATGCCCTGCCCGCGTGGCAGTACTGTACCTAGACTCCTGGAGACCTCAGGCAAACTTCAATATTGGGCCCCCCCTTAGCCAGAGATAATTATAATAATAATCATTATTTTCACCATTTACCACCTCCCTTTCTGTCTAGGTCCCAGGCAGCCACCCAGTTCACCCATGCCTATGCCCAGCCCTGCCGCATAGGTCCCAGGCCAGTCTCCATGGAGACCCCATCTGCCCTATCTGACACCCCTGGTGGTGGGTGCAGGGTGGACAGGCCCAGGGCTGGACGGGATCAAGTCCTCTCCATTGCTCCCCCACACCACCATTCCAGGTCAGCACCCCCTTTCTCCCGCCACAACAGCTCATTAAACTCCTGAAGTGGCCCTCCAGCCCAAATAATTGCCCAACCCTGCTCTACAGGGTCAGTTACATACAACAGAGAACCTTAATATCAGGGCCTCCCTCAAAGGCCAGGCTATGAGTAGCAACAGGGCAAGTTATGCTAACAAGAAGTTTGGTTTGCATGGGAGCTCTGGTAGGTGCCAAGCTGATGTATAAGTTTGGCAAATCAAAAGCAATACTCCAAGAAGTTAGCCTGGCAGCAGGTAGAAGGACAGGAAACAGCCGGACTGCATCACATACTAACTTTAAATTGACACAGTCATCTCTAAATCTTGGACAGAAAATCCTCCCTTTCTGTTCTTCTGTAATATCTCAGATTACTAGATCCAAAAGGCTCAGACCGTTCTCCCTTCATGTTGTGGAGCTGAAGGTCTCATGTTTACAGCACCTGAATTGAGTTTCACTCCATTTCTGGCTCTGCCACATGTTCTTTTGCTAGTCCTTGGGCAAGCTACTTCATCTTGGCATCTCTATTTGCCTGGTTAATGCTTCTGGCAGGTCTGGCTTTTGCCATGTTCTTGAGTAGAGCCCCTAACATGACAATATTCCACTCATGACTGGACCATGAGCCACCACTATAACAAAATTACTAAGTCTCTGTTACCGTTTCCCCTGTACAACCTGTACTCTCCTTTGCATGGGCCTCATGCTGCAAATGACACAAGGTAAACGTAAAGAAACAGGCCTGAAAAGCCACAAGCTAACAGCAGATGTCAAGGACATGAAGCCTAGTTCCAGATTTTCACCATATCAGCAGTGTCCTAAGCAGGGGATGAGCAAGCAGACTGCCTGGCAAACAGAAGCCCAGCTCTCTGGAAAGCCACTGAACTCCAAGCCAACTCTCCTCAGCTCCACACTGGTGTATTTCCATCAAATTCAGAGACATGGTTCAGAATTTGCAATAGTACAAGGAAGACAAAACTAAGCTGGGGGTATGCAAGGGGATAGGGAAGGGGTAGGAGGAGTGAGGTGCAATATTTAAGGGGGGTGAGAGGGATGGGGAAGGTATATCAGCAGCAGAGGCCCAGCAGGCAGGCCTCCAAGATGCAATATAATCAGGAGTGAAATGATCTGCTCCTTTTTAGGATACTTTTTCTATGCCAGTCTTTCAGAAGCCCCCTCCAGAATGCTGAAGCTAAGGCTCTCCCTTATTTCAGCTCAGCAGTTCAGAAGCCCTTCCAATTCTTGCAGAAACCTGCCTCTCTCCAAGTACACTGTGCCCAGGCTAAAGCTTAGCTCCATGTTAAGCCCCATCTGCTTGTGAGGACATAGTCAATCATCTGATATCTCAGCCAAAGATCATTTCAAGCCCAGTCTTAACTGTAAAGTGATCAGCATTTTCCATGACTCCCCAGGGTCTCAATAGATGTAATCTGTATGAGATACAATTTCTTGACAGGCCATACTGCATCTATCAATCCACAATGCTTTGAAGACATAACAGTTTATGCGCACCACCTGTGGTAAGTATTACTACTTGTGCCCTAGCAGCCACTCAACATAAGCGATATAGAGCTGGAGTGACACCTTACTGATGACACCTAATTACATCAATGACCCCAAGATAACAGCTACGTCCAAGACCACTACCTCCAGAGTACACTCAGAAAAACTGAGGCAAGGCAACCACTTTCCCCGCACAATGACCACTGATTCAGAAAGCCCAGTGGGAGCCCTCCTGGGCCTGGTATTTAGGAGTGCCAAGCGCACCCCCTGTCTCATATGAGGTCAGATGGGTGCTCAGGATTGTTAGAAGTCTTGCTCACAGCATCTCAAGATGGACCTCCCTCTCCCCCACCACATATCAACTCAGCTTTCCAGTTTGCTAAGACAGGCCAACTGCAATGAACGTGGACAAATAACCATTCAGCTGAGTGAAGCAGGAGCTAAAGCAGAGGTCTCCTGCCTCCCAGGTCTTTCCACTCTAACTACAAGACCAAACCATTATGGGATGGAATACTTTCAGCCAAGCTCAGTGTAGATAAGCATATCCCTTGGACAAGACAAGTTAGCTACAGGGCTCCCTAGTGCTCTAGTCACATGCCTCCCAGATCTTTCAAACTGCAATTAAAATACCTGTACTAGAGCTGGGAGGCCTGCACCAAGAAGACAAGAATTTCACCCAGACCACTGAGGGCATAGATCTGCTTTCTGGCCACTACATCACCTTAGTGACTGGAGAAAAAGCTCCCCAGCCATGGTACAAGGAAAGGGAGAGTCGCAGGGTTTGCACAATGATGCTCCTTCATCCTCACTCCTTGTGGCACACAGGGCCCTCTCTGGTGCAGGGTGGGCAGCTCACAAGAGATGGGCAGCCTCCCCTAGCTCACACTCCTTTGCGCAGCAGAGCTGTGTGGGTTCCATGGCAGGAGGATTCTGTGGCAAAATCCGCCAACGATACCAGGGCATTGCGACATTAGTGAGTCACTTGGCAGACATACCTTCAGTCAGTGGCTAATTTGTCCTCATCCTATTACTCAGCCATGCCCAGCCTTGGCATCACTGGGAAGTCCGGATGGGCCGGTGAGGGCAGCACACAATATTCTAGCATCTGTGTCTTTACTTGCTCAAAAATGTTTCAGTGGTGTGGGAAGATGAAGGCATCCATTGTATCATTGCTAAGAGAGACAGCCAGCCTTTGCAGAAGATGAGAAGCTAAAACAGAATCACAGGATCTCTTTGCTCTGTGCACTGCAGCATCGCGAGCACTCTGCCTCCACTAACCTGCAGCAAAGCGAATTGAGGTCGGCACTGAGTCATGCCAACGGGAAGAACAGTGCAAGCCAGGCGGCATGTTTGAGCCTGGGAAAACAGCAGTTATGAACCAAAAGGAACAAAACCCCAGATGGGTGAAGATTACTTCAACTACTTGACATTTCACAGAGGAATTGCAGTCCCCACAAGCGGGGATGGCCCGGAGCCAAACCTGTCTCAATCTCAGCGATCATGGGCCCAAGCCAAATTCACCCTGCCTTCATCAAACACTCTGCATCCCATTCACCCTCCTCTTTCCACATTCAAGTAAAAAGAAAAAAGAAAAACCCCACTTCATTTCCCTTTTATAAAACAGTACTTTCCCCATTAAAAAGCCCATTCTCTCGCTGTTAAAATATTGATTGTTCCATCAGAACCCTCTTCAGGCAGAAGTTTTAATGGAGAGCAAGCAATTGAGCACTGCTTACTCCCACAGGGCAGAGGGAACCAGAGCCCAAAGGGATGGCTACCTACCTTAGAAACCCTCGTAGCTCCAGCTTAGACCCCAGTTCTGAGCCCTGAGTGTGACACCAGAGCAGACAAGTAACAGGGTTCAGTTCTGACCCTTGGCACTGACACAGCACTCTGCAGCCTCAAAGTAGAGCACAGCCATCAACTAACTGCCAAAAGGCAAAGAAATGTATAGACAGAGGGACTGACGCAGGGTGGTTAAGCGACTTGCCAAAGGTCACACAGCAAGCCAGTGGCAATGCCAGCAATTCAAAAGCAGGGTTTCCAGGTTCCTGCTCAGGGCCCAGATCAGGCTGCCACAGAGTACCCACCGGTGTGGGGGGCCTACCTGGAGATCGCACGGCCAGCAGCGATGCTGAAGGACTCCCTAAAGCGTAGCTCTTCTTTGCACTGACTTTAACTCAACACACTTGTTCCAGCTACCAGACACGTTCGCTACGAGTCGCCCTCTTCGTCCCCCATCTACGCAGACAAGAACAAGGGATCATCCACCTGCTCCCACGCACGCAGGAATCCGGACCTCAGAAACGAGGTCGGGCGCCGGGAGGTTTTCCCGGTCCCTGCAGGCGGCTCCATCCCGCCCACACGCACTGGCAGGACCCGTCTTTCCGCCGCCTCCCCCCGCACAACAAAGCCGCTGGGCAGGGTCCTGCTCCGAGCAGCCGCGGTGCCGCCCGCCTGCTTCCGCCGCGGCCTGGCGGAGCCGG